TTATGGATTTTAGGCAGGCCATATGCATCTCGCTGGAGAAGTGCGTTCATTTTCCACTTTTCCAGTTCTCCACTGTTTACACATTGTTGCATACGACCGTGAAGTCTGACCTTAAGTTCTAATTAAGAATGAAGCTATTCAATGCTTTTCCTAAGTCTAATATCAATCAAATCATGGCATAAGTCCAAAAGATCGGTCTTAGTTTTACAAGGTAAACTGGTTCTAGAAATAATAAAAAATCTAAGTATAATTCTACGGGTAGAGCAAACCATTAAAAAACGAATGTGATTGATTTGCCTGGCCAATATTTTTTTGGTTTTTGTGTATAAAGAATGAAAACCATAAGTACTTTGAAGATATGAAGAAAAGCTGTATTTCGAAGAATCCCTTAGTGATATATTGTGACACAACTTTTCATTTCGAAGGGAAAGTTGGTAGGAAAGAATTCGTGATGTGGTCTCGCCGGAACCCGAAGGAAGATTGCTGCGTAGGGAAGACTAGTTAATTGTGAGAAGAAGTCCGAGGATAATCGTACTGCGACCCCGATGAAACTATGCTAAGTTTTCATCTATACTGTGACACATCATTAGAACAGTTATCCATACTTTACGAAATAGAGCAAGAATATACTAAACCTAGAGAATTCGTCTTCGCTACTACCCTACCGGAATGACAGACATCTTCTAGGACGTACCTAGTCTTGCGTCCTCTGCCAGAGTATTCATAAGGATTTCCACCATCGGAAAGTTGAATTGCTACATTCTCAGACGTTTAGCTGGCATCGAAGTCGACTTAGTCATTGAAAAGTGCAATCTTTAGCACAGAGTTACAACTTAGTAAAGGGGAAGTGAAGAACATCCCCTTTACCAATCTTCTGTTTAACCTTAGTAACCTCACTCCTCCCTCTTTAGTTATAGCTTCTATTGCTTCTAGCATGATTACTATTTCAAAAACTCACTTATAGACACTTGAATGACTGGCATTAAATTGTAGTTTTTCAATAGTCCTCTGCTGAGAATCATGAATGCTATGGCTGAGGAGACAGGACTAGGTACTTTCCACAAGGTCTCTCTGTTGCTCCGACTAAGTTGCGAAAACAAGGTCAAACCAACAAATTGGAGATATTAAGTTAAAGCCATTTATTTAAAATCTTCCTAATCACATTAAGATTATTTTTATTTATTCTTTTTATAACAATCCATAACGGAATGCCATTTACAATGGATTCATTGAAGATAAAATTTATCGAGAGATCTGTACTCTTTTGTTTCCACGTAGCCGACACCTTTATTGTTCGCGAAAATCTTGAACCCTCTTCATCGCCACACCAGAAACACTCGTACTCTTTAGTTTAACTGCTGAATTACCTTCGAGACGGTTCATTGGATTTACTCATTTTTCCCATCTTAATTTGGACGGAATATTATCTTCATTGCACTAATCTTGCTCCTAAGAACTATGAGTTTAGATTTATTAAAACATCAATCAATCTAACCCAAAGCGCATGCACAGAGTACTTAATGAATTCGATTATCTTGAGATAATTTTAGCGACTGACTTCCACTGATTTTATGAACACTTTTAACCAACCGACTACCAGGAAGAACATATTCATTAACCTAGTTGAGAAGTCTATTTTCATTAGACTCTTACTAAAGTAGGAGTAACATAATGATTTAAGCAAATAATCCCGTCCAGAATGCACTTTCCAGCACATATGATATTCTTACTGCAATAAGTCAGATTTCCAGCATTCCTGATCAAACACCATTTGCTTACTAACACGATCTACTTATTCATATTGTATGAGACAGCTCACTGTTTATGCTAGAGATTGCATTCCAATTTAGTTGCTGAATGAAATAAGAAGTAAGCCATTTATTCAATTGCGATTTGTGACTCGTCACTTGAATAGAGCAGGCATTTGCGTAGTTTGCATGCTCATGCGTCCTGCATTCTTATTCTTATGCAAAATAGGTTGTATGTATTTGCCTACCTAAGCTAGAGCTACGCATCCACAAGCGAAGACTATTTATGGCTCTTCCATGAAAAGAAAGAAACAATTTGAAATCAGGCTTTTATTTTGTTACACTTCCGAAATACATCTGTTGTTATATCTCCCTTGTTTTTCCAAATTGCCTCATTTCTCCTACTATTAATATTTGTACATATTTTTTTCCTAGGGATGCTTGTTCAATCGTCCAATGTGTCCGTGAGATCTATACTATCTAGTAGTAATTGCTCATCCGTTTGTAGATCGTATGTATATTTTTTAAAGGTATGAAAGCGCTCTCGGTCACTAAGCGTTTAAGGAACTGACAGATGAGCAAGCCAAGATTATCTGAATAAAAGACTTGGAATTGTCTACTATTTCTTGGTGAGTTTCAACGACCCTTATGTCTGAGAATTAACTTCAGTTTCGACTCCCCCGAATCGGCATTCTGTGTTAATTTCGGGTTTGTCTTTATCGTTGAGGCAAAACATTTCTCCATACTGAGACAATGCATTTGCTATCTCATATGTATAGGAGCCTGATGAACTCCAGTTTAGATTGTGATTAACTAATGGAAATTTCATTCTTATGACCTTTAATAGGCTCATCTTGACCTCACATAATAATGGAAATGGCCTTTCTACACCATTAATAGTTCACTTGAGTTTGTTTGAATCCTCCTTTTTCTCTTATACTGTGAACAGAAATTTACAAATCCTTTAATGAAGCAAATGCCCATAGGAGGCAATTCTGACCCAACATCATTTGTCCTCATTCGTGAGATATATGCCTCGTTAATAAACTTAGCAAATAAAAATTTACTCAAATAGGCAAATTGAGTAAAGCTCTTAACAAGCTTCAGCTTTGGCTTTATCCACAATTAGAGTGAGCTTAATTTAAGGGTGGAAAACCTTGACTTACTCATTGCATGCCACATATATAATACCCATCTATTATAATTTTCGTCAGACTGCAAAATGTAACTTATTATTAGAAGTTTGCAAAAATGGGAAAGCTAGATGTTGCATATATCCGTTTCTTACTTTGAAAGAAGAGGACTTTTATTGAGTTTGTATTTTTGAATACTAGAAATTAAGGATAATATTGAGGAAATATAAGATTGAATGAATGGAAAGGATTTTTCATCTGATTTTTATTTTTATTTTTGTGCCTTTATTTTGCGTTGATTAGGGATTTTTTTAATCCGATGTGAATACATGATGAATTTAAATTAATTAGAAAATTATACCTTGGCTTTTATGACTTGATCATAATACGACAACGCAGATAGTCACCTAACTTATTTATTAAGTTTTCTCCTCTTTATATTTATAGATTGCTCTAGTCCAACGTTTGATCCCGACTAATTAATCCTAATCAAAATCTATTTTTACATTAATTAGCCATCTTCGTTTATTGTTTTTCTACTTTTAATTTTGAAGCTATGCCCGATAAGGTTACCCTAGGTTTCGATTTTGCATTGACCTCCTACAGATAAGCATTTTGTTTTGTTGCTCCATATCACATTTACTTAGTCTTCCAACCTTCTTCATCGTGTTACAATACCTAACTTCTCGTCTTTACTGACAGAGTTTTTCTTGATAGGGCCCTTTATTCTATTATGCTGGCACGTTAAACTTGTATTCATTGCACTCTCGTTAACCA